GCGGGTCCAACATTCCGTTTCACGGGGGGCTTGCCGTCGCTCGGACGTCTATTTCCCATGCATTTTTCGGTTTCGTGCGTGTTTCTTTTTGCTCGATGGTCCAGGATGGTCCTCGATGGTTCTCGCCTAGAAAAAATGCACACGTCCGAGCGATGCCGAGGGGGTACAAACCCCTCAATGCACCCTCCGACCCCTCCGAAACAGCTCACCAACCTGCAGGTCCTTCGAGACGGGTCAAGACTGCCGTGGAGGGCCTCGGGTGGCCAGAGCTGGCTCGGAATGGCACCGCAAAACCTCAGAGCGATCCCAAGATGGCTCAAGAGATCGCCAGAGAGCCCAAGCTGGCTCCGCGAAGGGCTCCGCGGAGGGCCCAACATCGTCGAATCCGATTCGGCTGTCGCATGCCTCATGCATTCCTGACTACCTACCAGACCACCCCAACCCAACCCGAAGACCCGAATTTCGGGTTGGGGGGGGTAATGGTTCCACATGTGTTTTTTCAAGGTTTCCCGACCCCCCCCCCACTGGAAATCGAGGGTAAATCTGAGCCTTCGGGTTGCGTTGGGGTGGTTTGGTGGGTGGTGATCCCTGCTCTTCGGCTCCGCAAGCCCTTCAAAGGATGCGCCGCAGAGGCCTCTCCGAGATCCAAGGGGAGCCTCCTCGAGACTCCAAGACGGCCGCAAACATGCTCGTAAGACATCCCCACGGCTTCCTCAAGATTGCCTCGGAGGCTCCCGGCTGGCGTCCAGGGCGGTCCCGAAAAGGGTTCAGGACGGCCCCAAGACTCCCCCCCACGCACGGCCCCAAGAGCCACTGAAGCTCCCCCAAGACTCCCGAAGGGACGCCAAGATCGCCCCGAGGGGCCACAGGAAAGCAAGACCCAGGGGCGGCCATGAGGCCCCCGAGAGGCTCCCAGGACACCCCCAGGAGGCCCCAAGAGAGCCTCAAGAGGCCTCCTCCTCCTATCCGAAGTATCCCACCAAGTTCTGCAAGAGGTTCCACAACGGCTAGGGGCTAGGGGAGCACATAGTCCAATAGCCTCGCCAGATTTCGACCCAATGTTTGGCCGCATGGGTGTTTCCAAAAGGCAGGGGGCGTTTTTGATAATGATAGGCTGGACTGTCCAGCCCTCTCGGCTCAAAATGGTTCCACGAGGGCCTAGGAGGAGCAGCACAAAAAGTCGAACGATCTCACTGATGGCCCCAAGAGGCTCCCCGGACGGTCCAGGACAGCCCTTCGAGGGCCCCAAGAAGGGGCCCAAGAGGGCTCCAGGGTGGCCCAAGATGGCCCCAAGAGGCCTCCAGGAGAGCCCCCCAAACATCCCCAATACGGCTAAGACGGCTCGAGACGGTACCAAGACGGCCCAAGAGGGCCCCGAGACGGGCCAAGATGGTCCCCAGAGGGCCCCAAGACAGACCCACATGAGCCCAAGACGGCACATATAGGCCCGACGAGGGATGCCACGTGCTGCGGCCTTCCGGGCGGTGCTCGAAGCGTCGCCACACAGAATGCTGCGCTGGCACGGTGGCGGAAATTGCCGCGAACACCTGGACGGGGCACCCGAACCATCATAGTCAGTTCCGTCGTTGGGGGTCGGCCGGGTAGCGCAAACCTTTAGAATCCACCCGCCCACTGGGCCGAGGGGTGCGCGAGACCTTGTCGTAGATGGCCCTTTTCAGGGCGTTGAGTCGCTTTCCCACCAACAGGCTCCGCCTCTTCGCCACCCGGCTGCGCGCCACCCACTTGTCGGAGCCCACGACAGCTCCAAGCGACCATCCAAGACGAGATCGTGCCCCACATCATTCCCGACTTTCGAAACTGGCGTCTGCTCTATGTTGGCACCACTTGGGCCTCTGCTTGGCTGGCCTCCAAAACCGACCGTTGAGCCCTCCAACAGGCCAAATTTCGAAGACAGGTTGAAAGGTTCAAGACATTGTAACTTGGCCGTTCCCCAATCATCCTGTGTTGAATTGGGGCATTGCTTTGAATCCGCATCGCCCCGCGTCTCCTCCTCCTCCTCCTCCTCCTTTTCCTCCTCCTCCTCCACCTCCTTCTCCTCTCTCCTACCCCGCCTCTCCTTGCCCGCGTCTCATTCAACAATTCAACAATATGAATACTAATCTCCTCTTTCCCCTGGTGGCGTCCGGGGATTGTTCGGCCCCCCTCCGCGAACTGGTTTTCTAACACACAGGATTCCCGGGAGCTGGGTTTTCGCTTAGTTTTTTTGTCAAAATGCTGCTCTCGCTGAGGCGCTGGTCTCATTTTCGGGCTACCGCTCGTTCCGAATGATACTCACGCTGCAGCGCTGGCCTCATTTCCGCGCTTCCGCTTGTTCCGAGTAGTGCTCCCGCTGCAGAGCTGGCGTCATATTTGCAGCGCCATGCCACGGCATGTCTTGACGTCCTTCGTATGCCCCAGAATTTACAAAACGGCCACCCGAAAAAAAAACATCGGAAGTGATGACACATTCGGTAACGATTCGTTGATTGCTTGGGCCGCGGAAGCGCCGCCCCACTTTGGGGCGTCGCCACGCCATGCTATGTCAGGCTACGCGTCCTCATTTCCGCGCTTCCGCGCTGGGCGTTTTGCTCAAGATGCTGCTCTCGCTGAAGCGCTGGCCTCATGTTCGAAGTACCGCTCGTTCCGAATAGTGCTCCCGCTGTAGCGCTGGCGTCATTATTTGCAGCGCCATGCCACGGCATGCCTTTCGGTCCTTCATAAGCCCCAAAATGAAAAAATGGCCACCCGAAAAACCAGCGGAAGTAATTACACATTCGGCAACGATTCGTTGATTTTTGGGGCCGCGGAAGCCCACCACCTTGGGGCGCCGCCACGCCATGCTATGTCATTCGACGGGTTAATTTCCAACACCATGCTATGCCATGCTACGACATCCAGTTCTGCGCTTAGAAAGGAGATCTACGCCGTGGTCAGGGATGGGAGGGATGGGTCGGACGTCAGATATGACTCGAGCGCACCTAGCTTGCCTTCTCCCCCTCATCCTCCTCTTCCTCTCTCATGTTTCTGCTCGCCTCCGCATGTCCGAGTCAGCGCACCCGTCACACGAGTCTCATGCGCTTCGTGGCACGACAGGGAACCCCACCCACGGCCCCAGTGGCAACGGTCGCATGCCGCCGTCCAGCCCATTTCGGCACACCCCTCACCCGCTTTCGTGGCCTCATAGTCTCCACAGATGACCTCAGAGGGCCGCGCCTTGACCGATTCACAGCTGCTTCTGGTCGGGTGCTTCACACATATAATTTGATGACTTTCGCCTGGCTGGGGGTCGCCTGGAAGCCCCTGGGCCCCACATCGAAGCCCAAGTCGACCCCAGGGCGGGCCTGGATTGAAAAGAACTCGAGCTGGGTTCGGGCCCAAGGCCGCTCGCGCTTGAGCCACCTGAAAGCCCTGCGTGGCCCCATCGGGGCCTTCTTGAGCTGTTGGGGGGGGCACTTGGAGGGCCTCTTGTACCATCTTTGGAAAACGTATCAACCACATTGAGACAGTGTTCCTCATGTGGGGCCGCCGTGGACTCGCGACAGCTACAAATGGCGGGCGGCGAACGTTTTTTTGATTCGCGGCCCGCAAGGAGAAGTCCAGAGGGCGGCATGACCGAGGCTGGGGCACAGCGACAAATAATTGGCGCGGGCGGCGAACGCGAAACGTCTTGAATCCGCCCGCCCACCGTGCTGAAGAGCGTCTGGAACCTGACTTCGGTACCTCCGTTCGGGGCTTACGCCCACCTCGTTTTCCTGTTTCACACCGACCCCAAACACCCTTTCAAAACAGATATCCGCTTCAGTCTGGCCCCTCTTGGGACCTTTTCTTGGCCTCCGAGACAGTCCCGTTGGGCCACACGGAGCGCCTCTTCGGCCCAACGTCGCGAACCGATTGGAACTGCAACCATATGGTTGTCACGTGCTTTCGCCTGGAGTGGGTCGCCTGCGGGCCTCTTCTGAGAAGTGTCCATCGTCTGTGGCGTTCTGAACACAGAAAGTCAATGTTTCGACAGTCCTAGGCTCAATAGTAGTAGTAGTAGTAGTAGTAGTAGTGGTAGTAGTAGTAGTAGTAGTAGTAGTAGTAGTAGTAGTAGTAGTAGTAGTAGTAGTAGTAGTAGTAGTAGTAGTAGTAGTAGTAGTAGTCAGTAGTAGTAGTAGTAGTAGTAGTAGTAGTAGTAGTAGTAGTAGTAGTAGTAGTAGTAGTAGTAGTAGTAGTAGTAGTAGTAGTAGTAGTAGTAGTAGTAGTAGTAGTAGTAGTAGTAGTAGTAGTAGTAGTAGTAGTAGTAGTAGTAGTAGTAGTAGTAGTAGTAGTAGTAGTAGTAGTAGTAGTAGTAGTAGTAGTAGTAGTAGTAGTAGTAGTAGTAGTAGTAGTAGTAGTAGTAGTAGTAGTAGTAGCAGTAGTAGCAGTAGCATTAGCTCAAAACTCGGCCCCAGCGCGGGCCCGGATGGAATCCAAGGCGGGCCAGACTCTGGCGCAACACCAGAGCACTCACACCCGGGCCATCTAAAAAAGTCCTCGTGGCCCCCCTCGGGCCCTTCTGAGGCCCCCCGTCTCTGCCCCAGCGCGGGCCCAGATTGAATCCAATGCGGACCAGACTCTGGCTCAACACCAGAACACTCACACCTGAGCCATCTAAAAAAAGTCCTCGTGGCCCCCCTCGTGGCCCTTCCGAGACCCCCCGTCTCTGGACGACTGCTGATAGGCTTCCGGGCGGTGTCTGGCCTCCTGCGGAGCCCTCTTGGACTACGTTCGGCATGGAGTCGGCCCGTCCTGGAGCCATGCTTCTCGTCCGGCGGGATCTAGAAAGGTCGGGCGATGAACGCGAAGCATCTTGCGTCACAAGCGTCGTGCAAAGTCGGGTCGGGCAAAAGGGGGGGGTTGGGAAAGGGGGGGGTACGAAATCTGCTGCATGCAGCTGGTTTCGGCCCCGCCGCCGGGCCCATTCCTCGATACATGGGCGCCTCCCGGCGCCAGGAGGCGCCGGTAAAATCAGCTACGTGAGCTGATTCTCAAACCCCCCCCTTTGCTATCCCCCCTTTCGCTCGGCCCGACAAAGGAGCGCACCGCTAGAACCAATGCCCGAATTCCACGGCCCTGCAAGAGCAGACGGGGAAGCCCGCGAACGGTCCGCTCCGTCTTCTTCGCAGCTCGCTTTACGCGAGTGGCGGCGCGGCCGATCGAGAGGCAGGGATCCCCGACAAAGAAGCAGCACGAGCACGCGCACTTGTTCCACGTGCGTTTGGTGGATTCGTCGCCGATCTCTGCCGCGGCTGATGTACATGTGTGTGCGCGCCCTGAAAGCGCACGCTCTCGCTCTGCTTCCCCAGTGCGCGGCTGTCGCCTTTGCTCTCTGCCTGTTCCAGTGTCTTGTCTTTACCACTTGGCTCGTCGCCTCTGCCGTGTCGGCCGCACTGCGCTTCCGCTTCCACGCGTCGCTCACTGCTGCCTGCTTGCCCACCCTCCCCACCCTTGCTGCCCATGCCCGGGCATTCGCATGGCACATTCGATACATGTGGATCCCTGCTCCATCTTCTGAGTGGCCAAAAGGCCGCGCGCGCCCTCAGTTCCTCCTCTGACCGGCCTGCTTCGCCTCGTCGCTGTGCGCGAGGCAGCGGCCGCCGCAAAGCGTGCGCTCAGAACTCTGTGCGTGCGCACGTGTGCGTGTGCGCGTGCGCGCGTGCGTGTGCGTGTGCGTGTGTGCGTGCATGTGTGCGCGTGCGAGTGCGCGGGCGTGTGTGCATGCGCCTCAGACCACCTGGCTCTCTGAGCGCTGCTCTCCCGCGAAGCAGGTGACGCGGCTCCTCACCGCATTGAGGCCACCACGCATTCGGTGACTCGTTTGCTGAGGAGTCGTCGTGCTCGCGGCCGTCCGGGCCTGGCCTCCCAGGCTGCCGCCCCGCTGGCCCAAGACGGAGAAGGAGGAGGAGGAGGAGGAGGGAGGAGGAGGCGGGGCCCCGCTCGAGCGGGCCCCGCATGGCACAAAACTGGCCCACGGCCGCATCTGGACCTTCCCCCGGCGGCCAGCGCCCCAGGAAGGCCCCCAGGGTACTCTGCTGGCACCTCGCCCCCCCGAGGCGACCCGACGACCCACAGGAGCCCCCCCAAAGGAGGCCCCAAGGAGCCCCCCAAGGAAGACCTCCTAGGTCCTGGGAGGCCAACGCAAAAACAAGCACGATCCGCCTGGCGAAGGGCCCAAACCTGTGCAGCTATCTACGTGCAGCGCCTGGCGCGATCCTCTCCTCATCTTCTCACGCGCCGCGGGACCAGTGCATCGCATCCCTGTGGGACCCGATCCCAGTGATGAGTACGTCGAAGTCGACGGGGGAGCGCACTTGAACGGCCTGACTGGGGGACGGCCTCTGGAAGAGCTCCCTGCATTGCGCCATCAGCGCGAAGAGTCTGGGGGAGTTGGACGCGGGGACGCCGTGCAAACGCATTCACTGGGGCCGTAGTTGGACATCCCCCAAAAGACACGCTCCGCGTGCGAGGTATGCTAACTGGGGCGCGGGGGGGGGGGGGGCCACGCCAACGCACTCACTGGGACCGTGGGTGGAGCATCCTCAGGGACAGGATCCGCATGGAGGGTGTGCCGAAATAGGCGCGGGGGTGCCATGCGAACACACCTACGCCACAAGTGAAGCTCCCTGTGATACGCGATTCTGAGGGGTGTGCCGAACGGGGCGCTGGACGCCATTCGAACGCACCCACCGGGGCCGTGGGTGGAGCTTCCCATGGGGACACGAAGCGTGTGATGGGCATGTCTAAACGACGGAGGACGGAGGCAGGGATATGAGGAGGAGACCACCTTAGAGGCAGGAGGAGGAGGAGGAGGAAAAGGATGAGGGAAAGGAGGAGGAAAACGAGGAGGAAAAGGGGGAGGAGGAGGAGGAGGAGGAGGAGGAGGAGGAGGAGGAGGAGGAGGAGGAGGAGGAGGAGAAGGAGGAAGGGAGGATTCTCAGCGAGAAAGGGAGGTGTGAGGAAGAGGCGTCCTAGCTACAAGATTTGATCTGTGGCGGCGGGGGAGCAGGGCACCAGGAACCCCATGGGGTGTCCAGATCGCCCAAAAAGCATCTCCACTGCGAGGAGCACGGGGACGGAGAAACCTAGGGCGAGCCCTGGGCCCAGGACTGCCGCTGGCTGCAACTGGGCAGGCCGAGGCGGACGGAGCCCAAGGTGGTCGTGGCCCGAGCGGGTGCTTCGAGGGCCGGCGCAGAGGGTGACGCAGCCGAAATCGTAGTGTACTGGGAAGGGGGGCGGGGAAGCGGTTGGGTCCTGGGACTTTTCCCCTGGGGGAGGGGCAGGGAGCGGCAACGGTTAAGTCGGGCGTGTCCCCCTACAGGGGGATTTTCGACGAAAAATGAAAAATACCCTAAAGATACACCAAAAAGGCCAACAAAATACTCCAAAAATGATCCCCAGACTATTTTTGGTGTATTTTATATTTTTCGTCGAAAATCCCCCTGTAGGGGGACACGCCCGACTTAAGGCAACGGCGACGCCCGTGGTCCAGGCGCGCGCCGATTTCGGGTCCAGAGGAAGTGGGTCGCTGTGGAGCGAGCCTTTCGGGCCCCGCGACACCAAAAGGTGATGCACGGTGCCGGCGCAGGAGTGTGCGCCGTAAGGAGGCAAGGGAGGCACAGATGAGAGGTAGGAAGGCTAGGAAACGATCGCAGGCGTTGCTTAATCTGTCGCTACTCACGCGGCGTAGACGATCGCGCAAAAACACCACCAAGTATATTTTCGGATGTACGTGGAATACCCGGCGTTTTGGGGCAGATGACCAGGCAATGAATGAAGAGATGAAGGCGGAATGCTTGTTCACTCTCATGAACACGCATCGATGGCGATTATGCCTGTTGTCTGATCTTGACTTCCACCAACACAGTGTCCGTGAGTATGAGTTCGAGGGTATCATCTGGACCTTGGTGATTAGGGTGAAGGTGGGGGTTGCTTCGAGGGAGGATTTAGCACAGCAGTGGTGGGATGGGGGAGGCAGCGTCGTAGTTCGTGGTGGGCATGATCGGAAGTGGACTCGGTGTCTGGCGCTCACCGTGCCGCGCACAGGCCATCATCGTGGCCTAACCCTCGTGGCCGTGTGCGCGCCTTGCTTTGGACCAAAATGCGCTCCATGCCCGGGGCCGTTTTATGAGGAACTTCGCTCGCTTCGTGGAAGAACCGAATCGTGGGCAGAATCATATGTTCGTCATGAGTGGGGACTTCAACGCGAACGCGGAAGCTGGCCAGCGGACAACCCAGGATGACAACGATAGACTCTGGTCGGCAACTCAAAGAGTTCTGCTGGGCCCATCTCATGTTATGAGCACGGTGTACCGCCAGAGACAGGCGGCCACGTGGTGGCATCCACGTTACCGCACGGCCCACCAATTGGACCATATCTCAACAAGGCCCCGTGACCAGTGGCACTTCACGGTATGTAGAACCCTGCACTTCGGGCAAGATGGGGAACAGGGCTGCCGCCGCGCATTTAAGCGTCGCCGGGTCCAAGGCAACGATACATGGAGAGAGCGCGAGGACGGAGCGATGGCTTGGTCCGCCTGTACGGATCATGAGCCTGTGGAGGTCCATACTCGGCTGTCTGATTCGTGGTTGCGCCGGACTAAAGGGGTGGTTCACACTCCGTTTGCAGAGAGACTGGACTATGGCAGCATGGTAGGCCCGACAGGGAGCGCTAAGACGAGCGGGAACGTTTGCGGCCGCCATGACGACACGCCTGATGGCGATAGGGCGCCCCGTCTATCGGGCTGAACTCGTCTCGTTGGTGAGCTCGGTTGCTTCGGAAGTTCTCGGTAAGAAGCCAAAAAGACACCAAGCCCCGTGGCTGCGAGGGCATGAGGTGGAAAAAGAGGCCTTGGAAGCCGAGTTGGAACAAACTAAGATGAAATGGGCCCTGTCGTCAGACGAAGAGGCCGCGACCTCGTTGGCCGCCAAGAGGGTGGGGCTTCGCCGCCGCAGACTTTTGAGGGAGTGGGAGCGCGTGTGGATGGAGCATCCCATGCCGGCCAGCTGGAGACGAGCCGCGGCGAGTTCTTTCTTCGCCCCATCCTCGCGAGCCGTGATGGCATCGCCAGCGGCCACGGTGACAGACTTCGATCAGTGCGAGCACGGACAGAGCGCGCGTGCACCTACCCGCATCCTTGCATTGCGCATGTGCGCACTACACGAGCGCCTACGTACTGGAGACACCTGGGAGAGGACGCTGCTCACGTGGGCGTGGGTCACACGAGGTCCTGATGGGTTACGATCGTAGTCGTGACGAATGGCGCACTGCCAAAAAGAAGACATACCCCCCGGCTTTGTGTCAGGTACTAGCGGACGGTATTATGGACTCTGTACTATGTACACCATATGCGTGAGACCAGCGACCCAGACGCACTACCAGACGACATGCGGGAAAGGGAAACCGAGCTCCGTGGGTCCTTGACCGACTTTTTATACTGCATGGGACCCCCATCAGTGCACCGACGAGAGTTGGGCCCCCGATTTCGTCTCACAGGCCCCTCGGCGGGGCCCGTGCCGATCCCGAGCGACATAAGTTTCAGCCGCCACCTCCGAACCCCCCCTTCTGTGCCGGGTGCCGCACGCGATCCCGAGGCGGAGCCCAGGGGCCCCGATCCCATAGGAGGAGGAGGAGGAGGAGGAGGAGGAGGAGGAGGAGGAGGAGGGCACCCCGATCCCCGGTCGCGATGCCGCTTGCCCTGCTCAAGCCAGCGCCGCCCCTGCCCACATCCCGCCGCCACCACCCCGCCCCGTCCCCCTCACGGAGAAAGGTCTGGCTACGATTGCCCGCGAGCGCTCTGAGGCCCGAGCACGGCGCGAGCAGCGTCTTGCCGCCCGAGTCGCCCCGTGGACCATGCAAGAGGGACTCGGTGCCACTATGTTCGACTCTCATCGCGAGCAACCCGCACTACGCCGAGTCGGGGTACTACGTGGGAGGGACTGGGAGGTTGACAGGGTAGATCAAGCTGTGACAGTGATAGGCTGTTGAAGCTTTTGTGCAATGGTGGTCTTGTCCTGTGCAGCTGACGCCTGCCCAGCTGTCGGCGGCCGAGCCGAGGGTCGATCCATGAGGGGAGGGGGCCATAGTGGGCGCTCCGAGAGGAACTCGCGAAGCCCCCTCCCCAAAGCGGCTCTCGCCGAGGCGAGGTCGCCCCCTATATGCACCTGCTCTCATCGCGAGCAGACTGCAGATTTCGAATCGGCGAGTTCAGGGAGGAGGCGGAGAGCAGCCGGCCACGCTTGTCAGAGCCGTGGCCCGCGTCACGGGCAGCCACCTCTGCACTGTCAGCTGCTTGATGGGGCCCTCCGCTGGGGCCCCCAAGGTCTTGAGACACGATGCAGACCCGCTGCATTTTTTTTGCGGATGCCGTCGCACGACCCGCCGCCCAGGGACTAGCACGGTCGTGGACGAGCTTGGCAGGAGTCCCCTGGCGGTGATTTGCACAAAACGCCAGAGTTTCAGGGACGGACAGGGAGGTTGGGTAGAGTCAGAGAGACTGGCCGCCTGCCTCCTACGATCTCTCTCGCCCGCGGCCTGCCTGCATGCGCCGCCATCCCTTTCTCTCGGCACGGTCCACACACCTCGCTGTCTCGTTGGAAGATGGCAAGGGAGATCAGGATGCTGCCAGTAACAATCCAGTCAGGTTTTTCTGCAAAGTGGATATGTCCCGTGCAGCTCACGGCCGACATGGTGTCGGCGGCCGAGCCGAGGGTCGATCCGTGAGGGGAGGGGGCCATAGTGGGCGTTCCGAAAGGAACTCGCGAAGCCCCCTCCCCCAAGCGGCTCTCGCCGAGGCAAGGTCGCCCCTTCTGCACCTGCTCATTTCGTGAGCAACCCGAGGTCGTCGAGTTGGCGAGTTTAGGGTGGAGGTGGAGGTTATGTTCTACAGGTTCGGGTGAGGGAGTCAATCACTAACTGTCAGGCCGAGGCCCGCGTGTATGTACATGCGCGTCAACTTTGCATTGTCAGCTGCATGGGGCCCTCAGGCTTTTGAGACCTAATGCAGACCTGCCGCACGAGCTTGCAGATACCGTTGCAGGACCGGCTTCCGAGGGATTAGCACCGGCCGTGGACGACGAATGGCAGCCGCGTTCACAGTTACAGTCTGGCGCCGCAGCCCCCGTCCCCGTGGCGATGGTTATGCGCCAACGCCAACGTTTCAGTGAGGAACAGGGCGGAGGGGAGGATACGGAGAGAGCTGCCGCCTGCCTCTCCTGCTCTCTCCCGCTCGCGGCCTGCCTGCACGCGCCGCCCGCCCTCTCTCTCTCGGCGCCGCCACCCTTCACCAGAGGTGCCCCCGCTTGCAGCTGCCGGCACACTTTCACACCTGCCGACCAGCCATAACTGGGGGAGCCGTGGTCCTTACCCCCCTGGGGGAACTCATCGCGTCGACGATCCCTCGAGAGGGGTGTCGAAATCGATGGGTCCCCCAGGGGGGTAAGGACCACAGCTCCCCCAATTGTGGCTAGCCTGACCTGTGCCCGCGGGGGGCAGCGGTCACGGGGCCCGGTGAGCGCAGTCCGTCGCTAACCACACACCCGGTTGCGTGTGGCACCGGACCCCCGAGCGTGCTCCTGCGCGCGCCGCGGCTCGCCAGGTGCTCGCGTACCTGCTCGCCGCGGCGCCTGCCAGCACTGCATCAGCAGTTCTGGGGTAGCAGGGTTGTTATGGAGGGGGGATCGAGGATCGTGATGAGTGCCATCGTCGTGCCCACTTTTTCGCCCCTCTCTGCGCGACGAGGCGCCGCTCTTTGGCAGAGCCAGGACCGCCCGCCGTGCCTGTCTGCCACCGCCGTTGCGACGCAGCGCTGACCGCGGTTTGAGCAACCATTTAGGTGCCCTCGAGCACCGTGCAGTGTGCCTGACACTATCGTTGCGGAGGAGGAGTGGACATAGTACAGTCGGGACATAGTATGGGGGCTGTGAGGAGTTACTGTGCTGCATGTGCTTACTTTGTGCCCGTGCAGCCCTCTTTGAAATACTCTGCTAGCTGCAGCGCCGCCTTTCTCTGACCGTCGTCAGGCGAATCAGATGCGCAGTCCAAAAAATCCCCTTGGGGTCCCATCCACGGTCGTGCCGGGGGCCGGCCCGGGGTGCTTTCGCGATCCCCCTGCGGACCCCGAGGCGGAACCCGGAGGGCTCCCAGCACCACCCGACGGCCCGGCGGCCTTGCAGGCCGACGCGCCGAAAGGCGAGGCGAGGTGAGGCGAGGGTCGGGGAAGCGAAGCCCTCGCATGCGCACCCCTCGGGCCGAGGAAACTGCGACGAGGTGCGCTCCCTTGCGACATGATCCCCATCGGCACCTGCCCTGCCTTCCCAAAACTGACAGGAGCGAGGAGGAGAAGGAGGAGGAGGAGGGTGAAGTGCTGCGCTGCGTATTGAAAACAAGGGACCCAACGACACAGGAGAGTTGGAGAAATAGACTTGCTCTGCCACCTGACGGGGCCTCCAGTGGACTCCTCGCGGGCCACCCCTAGCGGCCGCCAGGCCTCCCGGGCTGGCGCCCTGCCAGTCTTGGATTCTGCCAGGCCCACAAGGCAGCCCCCAAGACTCCCCTTGGACGGCGCAGAACAGGCCCAGGACGGCCCCAAGACTGCCCAAGATCGGCCCAAGACGGCCCAGCAACTACCTTCATTCGCCTCGAGACACCCTAAGATGGCCGCAGGAACCACCTACACAGCCCCAGAACCCCCCCCCCCCCCCCAGAGCTCTCAAAAACCCACCTGGCAGACTCTCCCAAAGCTCCCAGAAGGCACCCAAGAGGCCCAAGGACTACAACATGCCACACAACAATCATGCATTGCCATAGCGCTGCTGCGGGCACGCTCGGAAGCGCAACTGGTAAGCTTTGCGTTCGCGTTGCTGGCTGCTCCCTCGTCCTGGGCATCGGTCAGCACCTGAAACTCGCGCTCCATCCTCTGCCTCGCCTCCCTCTCCCCCTGCCTCACCGCTGTCGTCCCCCTAGGCAGGAATCAGCCCCTGAGCCTTGTACTCCTCGAGGACTGCCTCGACATCGCGCTTGCAGCCGATGACAACCGGGCACTTCTCGTGGATCTTCGAGGGCACGATGTCAGGGGGGCACATGCGGACCCTACCCCTACCCCCCACGATTTCCGAGGGGGAGGGTGGGGCTCACTTCGTTCGGGAGCTCACGAGCGGAGTGAGCCCCACCCTCCCCCTCGGAAATCGTGGGGGGTAGGGGTAGGGTCCGCATGTGGCCCCCTAGATGTCCAGCATCCTCTGCACCCTGCCCTTGAACATGCCGCACGAGGCCGCGCCGCCGGCGGCCTCCACGATCATGGCCATCGGGAAGCCCTCGTACAGCACGCGCAGCTTGCCGTTCGGCTCCTTCTTGTCCGCGGGGTAGAGGTAGATGCCGCCGTACATAAGGGAACGAAGACGGACACAAACATAAAAACTCGGAGGTCCGCGCGGATTTCTCGGAACGGCGCTGGAACCCCCTGGCGGCGCCTCCGGCGCCGCCCCTGGCGCGCTCCGCGCGCCAGGAAGGGGGGTCCAGCGCCGATCCGAGAAATCCGCGCGGACCTCCGAGTTTTTATGTTCATGTCATTCTTCGTTCCCCTAGTACAAGATCGTGCGGTGGACGTCTGAAACCATGGATCCGACGTACCTGGCGGCGTATGGCTTGGCGCCCTGCTTCCACTTCTTGACTATCGACTGCATGGCGGCGTCCCAATTCTGGCTGTTGCCCTCGTTGCAGCTGTAGATCGTCTTTCCGCCACCCTCCGGAAGCTTGACGTGCGCCTTAATGTGCATAAACTCCCCGATCGAAGGGTCCAGAACGAAACGGTGCACGCCATGACCCTTGAACGTTATGACGAGCTCCGTGGCGGATCCGTACATGCAGTACCCAGCCACGAGGAGGTCGTTGCCCGTCCGCAGGACGTCGTCCATTGTAGCTGGCTCCTTCCCCTTGCTCTTCTTCTCGTAGATGCCAAAAATGGTGCCGGTGCTAACATTGCAGTCGATGTTGCTGCTACCGTCAAGTGGGTCGAACGCAACAATGAAGCGTCCCCTCTTCGACTCGGGCACGAAGATGGGATCCTCGTTCTCCTCGGAAATCAGAACGGCGCAAGTGCCACTGTTGACGAGGGCGTCAATGAAAATGTCGTTGGACAGCACGTCAAGCTTCTTCTGGTCGTCGCCAGTGGAATTCACCTGGGTCGGCAAGCGAACCCCGGAATTTTTCCAGGCAGAATCTGGAATTCCCAAACAAGCGAAGCCCGGAATCGATTCCGGCAAAACTCGAAATCAGGAGCCCAAACCAAGAATCCCTGGCAAACCAAGCCCAAAACCCATTCCAGCCCAAACCTGGACTCCACCTCCCCTGGGAGCTTCAGGGTGCGCATATAACACCCCACCTGCGAAAATAGCGACACTAGCGCAACTCGCAGCGCGCCGGAGCCGCACCTCGACGGGTTGCGCGTGACAGCCCACTCCGCGGGACCTCCCAAAACCCTACGAAGGTGACGATCATGGCGCAATTCTCTTGCACCGGCTTACTGTCGTTATCCACTGGACACCCTGACTTTGACAACTTCCGCGCCTGGGACCGAACACCGGACACCTGGAACCGGAGAGCGGGGACCAAAGACCAAGAACGCAACGGGGACCCTGTGAGCCAGGAGCCGGGAACTGGGGACCTGCAGGGATCGAGGGCTGGAAAGAAACCAGAGACCGCGGGGACCGGGGACCAGGACCCAGGGAGCGGGGACTGGGGACAAGGGACCGGAGACTGGGGGTCGGGGACCGTGAACCAGGCAGCAGGAAACAGGGGCCAGGGAGCGGAGAACTGGGACCGAGGACCCAGAGAAGGGAGCCGGGGACTGGGGACCCGGGGACCAGGGACCTGGTCGTAGTCGTAGTAATAGAAATAGAAGTAGAAGTAGAAGCAGAAGGAGAAGTAGAAGTAGAAGTAGAAATAGTAGTAGTAGTAGTAGTAGTAGTAGTAGTAGTAGTAGT